CTCGACAAGGGTGCCGACGTCAACGCGCAGGGCGGCTACTACAGCAATACTCTCCAGGCCGCTTCATTTAGAGTACATAAGAAGGTGGTTTAGATACCTCAGAATAATGCCGAGAACTTAGTAGAGAAGATAGGCGGTACAGTAGTAATCAAAAAGCCGCGAAGCGTTCCTCATCCCAGGCGGAAATTAGTAGAGACACTAAGGAAGTCGTGGCTAAGAAGCCGAAGGCTGCTAACTTCAGTTCGCTAAACACGTAGGTAGGAGCGGAGGGTTCATCTAACGGAGTTAGGAACCTTAAGGGCAAGAAAAAGTAGTATATCATCGGCAGGTTAGATCGAGAAAGTACGTGTCCTTAGGTTACCCATAGCTTTTACTCTAGAAGATATACGGTTAAACGGACTAGGCCCTCTAATGAATTCAACATAAGTTCTCTGTTGAAGTGTACGCAGTTTATATTGCTTTTTCTGTGGCTTAGTCATTTAGCACAGGGTATAAGAGGACTCCGCCTACCGGGCTCCTAACAAGATCATGCCACTCATTGCTATCAATTGAAACCCCATTCATTGCAACATTCTCTTATTATATTAGCGCTCCCGCTCTCTTACCGTCTTCCTAGGACATCCGCCACATCCTATTCCTCTACCCCCTCTACTCCGTACTGAGCAGCCTCGCTATATTAGATAATCGGGGCTAGCAGCGGTATAAAGTTGTTTTCGCGCGCGCGACGCGACTTTACAGAACACCTTTCGCGTAACACCTTTGTTCAGCGTCCTTGTTCAACGCCTCCGTACGCCGTAACCGCCTGCAGGCTCTCAATAACCTCTACAAGTCGCTCCTAGCACCTTCGTGTTATCGCACCTACATTTATTATATCTTTCTCATATAATTTAAGCCCAACCCTTCCATCAACAAGATCGCGACCGTAGTATTATATCTTGCCGCTATGCACACCTACGACCACGACGCTAAGCAAGTTTTCGACATCCATTCGGCCCCCACGCTTAGAGAATTTAGGCTCGTCCCCACCCCCTAAGATATATGCCCTATTGTACCGAGGGCAGAGTATAATAGTGGCCGTGTATAAACTTCAGCACGGCTTGCGAATAATTTAGACGGGGAGGTTAGAGTATAATAGTAGATTTCGCAAAAATTATAGATGCGACTATACTGAAAGTAGAGAATAGTTAAGCGAGAACAATGCTGTTTTAATATCAAAACTATCTGTTGCTTTCGCAGATATATTGCGATGTGAAAGCTGTTGAAAAACGGCGTCGGCCGCTGGACAACACTAACTTTTGCAGCGACCGTCGCAGCAGCAGCAGCAGCAGCAGCAGCAGCAGCAGCAGTAGCAGTAGCGAACGCCGCGAAAATTGCAGCAATTGCAGCAGCGAAAGTAGTTTGAGTAGTAGTAAAAATAGCAGTAATCATAGTAGTAAATGTAGCAACGAATACAGTAGCATAAGTAGTATTTATAGTAAATATAGTAGCGAATGTAGTTATAATATTAGTTAAAATTATGTGAAGCTGGGCGCGAGGAATTGGACGCCGCCTTTCTCCTAAATTACTACTACCTATGGGGGTATATATGCTGCTATCTAAAAGAACACGTTTTCTCTTTAAGATCCTTATTCCCTTGCAGTGGATAAACGTGTGGTGTAAGGGGTAAGGCTGTAGTGTAACAACTGACTGTAATAAGGCTGAAAAACCGAGAGTTATCGGAGTAATCCTGGCTGACAAATTATTACTATGGAGGTAATAAAGTGTCAGCCAGGACCACTCTAATAATGTACTTGTTGGACTATCAGGCCACGTTTCTTCACGCATTACTCTCTATATTTACTTTGCTTTTTCGTTATTTCAACACCGTGTCACTCCCATGCTACCTTCTTTATGCGAGCACATGGCTGCTCCACCATATTTATATATAAAAGGTTTGCTGCTAGTCACTCTAAGAATCAAGCCGCGTTCTCATTCTCACTCGCACGGTTTCACCCAAACATGTCAACGCCACCTAATCAGGCTAATGTCAGAAATCCGCCCTGCACCGCTCGCTCTTTTGGCAGTTTAGCACCAAGTCGAAAGCAAGGCACGCCAACTAGCGCAGCGCGTTAACCATTAGATTTGTTTTTATAGTTCTCTAGCTGACTTACTCTGCACATCCCGAAAAGAACCCTCAGCCGATCTTAGTATTACCAGCTTAACCGTATACGCCCACGCCTCCGCATCACGCATTTTAAACACCGCACCGTATGCCCTGCTAACTGTCTTAAAAACGATATTTGCTAGATCGCTCAGGGTCCTCCTGTCGAATCCGTCGAGCAGAACGCCTATTAACACTAAAGATATCAGCAGCCTTAGCCAAGAGATACTATCCGTTGCACTGGCTCCTCTCTTATTCAGTTTTTCATGCTGAATAGCCTTTAAGGAACTAATGAAATCAGCGCGCTTGGTTTTAGAGTACTTATAGCCAGGCGGATAGTCTTTTTTGTCGTCAAGGATGGGCGAGCGAGTTGACTGTCGGGGCCACGCTGGAGTAGCGAAAAAGGCCCCATAAACTTATTTTCGTGTATCCTTAATAGATCGCGACGAGGCATAGTCGTACAGACCTCTGCATAATCACGTTTTGACGAACTGGGTAGGATTCGCGGAGTATACTACTTAAGTTGGGCGAGGTTCTTAGAATTTCCCCGGTCAGGTATTACTCGGTGATTTCGGAGATTCAGGCCTCGGTCTTCCTATCAAGAAATATTCGCCTACGTGTAAGTAATGCATTCAACGTATATCTCTGCTTGACCTTCGTAGAGCGCGAGTATTTTCTCCTCAAACCACGGCCGATACACGGACTGTCCCCAACTTGCAACCGCCAATAGGGACCGCAGCAGCGTATATACATCTTCCACATCGTACGTATTCCCTATACATTGCGGACCTACAAACTCCACGCTAAATCCTTTACCACAAGGCTCCGGTACCGCATGTACAGTATATAGTAACCACTGATCTCCCTCGATCTCGAGAGCCCACACTGGCATATCAAGGGGGTAGCGCTCAAGAGTGCGCCTATTGAACTCTACAGCGATCCAGGCGGCAAGCTGTACAGCTGGATCGGCGGCTACATAGCGCCGCTTAACTTCGACTTGTAGAAACAGCGGCGTAAATTTCACGAAGGTCGCTGTTTAGTTAATACTAGGCGCGCCGGCGAAGATACCGCGCTATAGGGCACGCTACGCTCGCCGTGATAGGTCCAGACCCACTGTGTAATCAACCTTTTTATCAAGATTACGGATGAGGTCAGGCTCGTTCGCGTAGGGACAGAGGTCACTAGGACAAATTTCGACAGTTGAACTGCCGCGATAGACTTGTTAGTGCTAGACCGTACGGTCAAGGAAAGGAGAACGTATATGTCGAGGATAGTAAGGTTATTATTACCGTCGGGATCACATTTACAGAATAGACTAAGGCGGCGGATCAGCTGCAGTATAGGCCTAATAACGACGGAGATCTAGTGCGACTCTATAGTAGAAGAGGAGCGGAACTTCGCCGCCATCTTAACAGCGTCGGCTACTGTTAACCGGATTAAGTCGAGATCTGCCGTATTTAGTAGAATGTCTCTGGTGATGAGATCCCTCGGGTCCTAGGAGTTTGTGTTAGCCCTGCTAGGAAGCTCTTGCGGTGATGATATATATACCTGTGGCTGTAGTCCTTTAACCTTGACGCAGCTGGTCTAGCTGTCTTGGACCAAGGCGGGTAAGTACAGGCGCTGCGCCTCTTTGAAGTCGATGAACTCGATACGTGGTGTTATGAGTATAAGGCTCTCCTTCTTACTTACGCGCTTGTTTTATTTCTTGGTCGGTGATGAAGAGCGCGAAGGTGATCTTGTCGATATCGACCGGGTTATAGTCCGAGTGAGAAACGACGGAATGTAAAAATCGGGTCGGTCGTCGAAGATGGAATCGCTGGAAACAATCCGACACTCCCCCGGAGCGGCCTCTCGTGTCTGAGTATCCCTGGAAACGGTCCGATTTGTTTTAGATACGGCCCGGGCCGCTTTAGGAACGACCTGACCCGCATCTTTCTCCGCAGTATCTTTCCCCGCGGCCATCTCTGCGGCCCGCCGGCGCGTCATGCGCCCGGCATCTAGGGCTTCAACACGCTAGGTCTTCTTCCTTTCGCGCGGCGTAGTCTTGTCTACATCCATCTTCTTCCGCCGATTATATAAGATCTCGCGTAGGGAATAGTCGTGCCGATGCCGCGGCCGCAATAGTGTCGAAGGTGGAGGCAGATGTGGAGGCTCGTCGATCTGCGCGATCCAGCGGCCGATGTTAAGAGCGGAGGGCGCGTGGTGGAGGTTTTGCAGGCACGCGAAAGCATCGGAGATAAGAGGTTAGGTATCCCTACATCGGACGTAGCGATAGTGTTTGTCTTGCGGAAGCATGGTGGGAAGGGGATGGAGAGAAACGGTGTGCGGGAATCTTGATTGTTGATGCAGATGCAAGGTGTGTTGTGTGTTGCGTCGTACACGCTGACTAGGTTCGGCTCTGCAGCGACACAAGAATCAACCTCCGACGCGACAACTCCACAACCATGGCCTACGGTCAGGTTACTACGTCGACAGTGCGCAGCTAGGACTCGCTCTTTGATATGACTTGTCCACGTTCAGCTTCTGCTTGCCCGCTATAATTGTTGAAAAGAGACGTAGTTAAGTACATCTCACCGATGCTTCTTAGACGCACCCCAAACCCCTGATCTCTAGGTTTATCTTCCTAGAGAGTTCGTTATGTGAGCTTGTTTGGGCGTTCTCAGGCCGAGAGTGGGCGATGCGTTGGGTTTCGATGCGCACGATTTGTAGGGAGTACGCTGCCTGGCGTTTGACATACGCGGCTGAGATTCGGGATCAGCGAACCCCCGCCTGCCCGCCTGTCCGCCTGGGCAGCGGAAAATTAGCCCACCCATTTTCGAGATATTTGCCCACCCCCACCACCGCCTGCCTAATCGGGCAATAACCCGGCAGAAAATTGCCTTCGGCGCAACCCGCCTGCGCCAGTCGCTCGCGCGACGCCGCGCAAAGACGCGCTGGCGGGGAACAGGAACTAGCACCCCTTATTTTGCACCAAAAATCAACCAAAAAATTCCATATCTCCAACCTCACTGTCACAGCGCGGCACGCGAAGAGGCAAGTTATTACATGTTACAAACGTCGCTTTTTCGCGCGAACGAGCGCTCCCGCGTCCTCCGCCACCTGCTCGCTCCTCCGCTTAGTCACCGTAGCGAAACTTCCTCGTGCCACGTCCCGCACGTGCTGGCATCTCTCTGTTTACAGAGGGTACCGCACTGCTGCTGAATACAGTATCTCCATCCTCCTCTATGGTGTTGCAGTCGTCCTCGCTGTCCTCGCTGCTGCTGTTGACGGTGATTGGCTCGTCCTGCTGCTGCTGCTGCTGCTGCTGCTGTTGCTTCTTGGCCCGTGGGCGTGCTGGGGCAGTTGTAGTACGCTTTCTCTTGCGTGTAACTGTTGTTGTAGTTGTCTCCTCCTCCTCGTGATGCTGCAACTGTTGTTGTTGTTGTTGTTGCATTTACTGTATCATTTGCTGCATCGTTTGCTGCATCTGCGCCATCTTAGTAGTTACTGAACTGTCCTCCTTTGCCTTCTTCTTCTTCTTCTTCCTTGTACGCTTGGCACGCTGCTGAGTGGCCTGATCGGCCTGTTCAACAAGCTCGAATTGTGAAGGTTCTCGCTGCGTGCTTGTAGTAGTGCTAGCAGGCCTCTGGCTACTGCCATCAACACGAGGCCGGCCCCGGCGGTTATAAGGTATAAAGTCCCTAAGTGTTGTAATGGGATCAGGAGCTGCTGAAGCAGGAGTCTTAATATTCTAGAACGGGTGAATATCTTTAAGCTGTAGCGCCCAGTCGTTGTTTAGGGTATACTGATTGAGCGAATGAATACAAGGTAAGCCTAGTGACTCTTCGAAATGGCCGTAGCACTCCTGCTTGAATGCCTTGCCTCTTAGCAGCCTGATTTGCTTGGCTATAGTAGTTAGTGCCTTCGGAAATACCCGGTTGTAGATATGCCTGAATAGTGGCTCTGATTTATGAGAGTACCGTGGACGTGTATAAATTAGTACCTCCTCCGCCTTAATGTCCTGCTATTCGTTCTTTATAGCTTGTGTAAGCTTTGTAAGGAGCTTAAGGACGTCTTATTGCTTGTTGTTAAGGAACCGCTTAGTACGACTGTGAGCGCCTTCTGCGAGAGATGTAACCCTACGTGTAGTTAGGCTATTTAGTAATATCAGGGGTATAATAAAACATACCGAACACCGAGGTTAAGGTGTTTATTTGTCTACGTACAACACCACTGCTCCTTTAGAGGGACACACTAGGTGCGACTATAGTTAAGAAGGCCCTCTTTCGCTATAAAGTCCGTCTGAAAGCGTGCCTAGCGTGTATCCTATTCTGCTGGCGTGCGGGTAGCAGCAAGGTATTAAAATTACTTAGCACATGCCTCTCTCTGCTTCTTAATATCCTTATTAATATCCTTATCGTCCTCGTCACTCGCTAAATGTGCCTAGGCCTACTGTATCTTGCTACCGACGTACTTCGTAATATGCTATAGGTAAAGGAGTTATAGGACGTCGTTGTAGTGAGTATTAAGAGTATTTTTTAGTACTTGTTCGTAGTTAGTAATAAATACTGAAGGCTTCTTCAGCACCTGTACGAGGCGCTCTACTGCCTAGAGATATTTAGATTCGCTCTCCTTTGCCAGCAGAGCGAAGGCAATAGTGTAGGCACGTCCTATAGGCGTTATACCTACTATATGAAGCAGAGGGACCTTCTCCTTGTTCGAATTATATGTGTAATCTATTATTATAACGTCGCTCCAACGCTGCTGCAGAGCGAGAGCCTGCTTATAGGTAAAGAAGAGGATATGTGTATGGTCCTCTAGGTCCCGCTATATCTTAGAGACCTAGTTATTATTATCCTTAAGCTCCTTTACTACCCGCTGCGTAGTAGTAAGGCTATTTAGGCGCTATTGCTTTATTCTCTATAAGTGATTCGAGATATCTTTGCTGGTGATTAGATAGTCGGGATCCTTATGTAACAGCTAGGCACGGATCTATACTGGCATGTTGGTAATACTTAGGGACTTGATTAGGCGGTATTGCTCGGGTATTATCTTACGGATAGACGGATAAGCTATTACAGACAGATACACTATATAATTATGTACTAGAGCGTCCTCGGGAGCTTTAACCTTCTATTGCCCGTCGACCTACAGGCGAATATTAACTTTAAATGGGTAGGTAGTGCCTCGGGAGGAGGCATCGCGAACGTAGGCTGTTAATAGGCGGTTATTCGATATGTCGTACTGCATACGAAGCTTCTTTGGCACGCCTATATAGGGCCTCGACTTGGTGCCTCTATTAGTTAATCCGTAGCCGTGCTGCGTAGCAAATACCCTGGCTGCGGTTCTTGCCGCGTCTAGCGTTGGGTGAAGGCTCTCTGGCGGGGCGGCAAGGTCCATGGCGGGCAGGGTGGGTGGCGTGGGTGGCCGCGAAGAGGTGTTGTGCGAACATGGACCCAAACCAGCCGCTCCGCTATATGGGCGGCCAGACACCGTGGAGCGTCTTCCTGGTCTCGTGCTTGGAGGAAAACGTCGGCCTCAAGAAACGGCCTTGGAGCGAACGCAATACCGTCGAACATGCCCAGATCTCCGTCTTCAAATCCCTTTTGCGCCACGGTGCTGACAGAAACCAAAATTGCTTTAGCTCGAGGTTGGGCCCTGGTCATTCTGTCTCTAATTTGCTGTCGCATATCTTTTCCAGTAATGTCGATGAGTTGCAGGCGTTGGTTGAGAAGCAGGAGAAACGCCCCCGTGCTTCTTTTCGGAGGCTTTGGTGTTGGTCGTCCGATGCTTTGTGATTCTTTGATTTTATATATACCCCGGGTTTCCCGCAGGCAGCAGTATATTCCCATAGTCCCTACAGGCATAGGCTATATTTATACAAGATATAAATCCTTCCTTAAGACAACCTCCACCGGTTCCTACAACGCACACCCCCGAGCCCAGGCACCCTCACCCTCCCATATACCTACCTACACCCCTACCCACCTACCCACCAACACCACACCCCAATAATCCCCACAAACCCTAAAACCAAAAGCTCCACCACCCCGAAAACTCCACGAACCCAAGACCTCAAGCAAGAAACGCAAAGACTACGAAAGGAATATAAAAAACCAACTACCTACGCAGATACTTATAACTAGAGCGGGTGCGAGTAGGGTAGATGTTTTACTTTGGTGGTGATGAAGTGGTTGGTTGGTCGGTGGGAGTGGCGGTGGTGATGTGTCGTATATTATGCGGAAGGTTGGTTTGGTGGGCGAGAGATATAGGTGTAGTGTTGTGGTTAGAACGTGGGGAAGGGTTCAGAGCTCAAAAGGTTGAAAAAGGTTGATGGAGAGTAGTACGTCGTTGTTTTATGAAAGCAGGAAGCTACTGTGACTACCATACATACAAGCACGCAAGCAAGCAAGCCGTCGATGTGTTGTTTTGATTTTAAGTTAAGTGAAAAACATTTGATTTTGAGACAAATTTTAAGAAGAGAGACCAACGACACAGTAGCTTTCCAAGCCGCTGCTCAGAGGTAGAGAGGTAGATGACATGTGATGACACAGCTTCCACCGCTCTAACCAACAAAGCGCAGGTTACCGTTCTCATTAGTGATGTGCTCGTCCAAGTTAATGCGCTCCCTCGTCCACGAGCCATCCACGCGCTGCAAATCGGCAACCATGACGCTGCCATCAACAATCTCCCAGCGCTGGGCAGTACCGCTAAAGTTGCCCGTCTCGCCGCCGTGGATCCAGCGGAAGCGGCCGTTGTCATTGGTGACGTGGACATCGAGATCAATGCGCGACTCGCGGTAGTTGTTGCCGCCGGCGTCGCACTCGGCGATCAGGAAGCAGTGGTTGCCGTCGCTCCAGAGGCGGGCGCCACGCGAGCTCATGTGGAAGTTGCCGCTGCCGCCGCGGGAGCCGCCGCCGCCGTGGTGCTGCTGCATGGGCTGCTGCTGGTGGTACTGCGGCTGCTGGTGCTGCTGCTGCTGTTGCTGCTGGAACTGCTGCTTCTGCATCTCCTCTTGCCGCCGGCGCAGCTCCTCCTCCTCCTTCCGCCGTTCCTCCTCCTTCTCGTGCTTCTGGTGGTGCGTGTACGCGAGCGCGGCACCGCCCAGCGCAACGCCCACGGCGCCCACCGCGCCGTACGTCATCATCTTCTTCCGGCGCTGGCGGTCGGGGTTGGCGCTGCGCTCGCCCTCGCTGTCGTTGTCCGAGCTGTCCGAGCTCTCGTCTTCCTTGCCGTCCCACCCGACCGAGTTGCGGTCCATCCACTCGAGGTGCCGGGCGCGCCATTGCTCGCCTTCGCCGACAATGACGTCGTACGCGCGGAGCGTCTTGCAGTTGATCTCGTCGGCGTAGATCGTGTCTACGTTCAGCGTGTGCGCCGTCACGGACCGGTGCGGCGGCTGCGGGTACCGCGACGGAGGCAGCTCCTCCTTGTTGGCGATCTGCGCCTTCATGCAGGTGACGCGGCGGGCGAAGACGACGCGCGCGTTGATGGTCGATGCCGTCACGGAGCGGGCGTTCAGGTCGCCGCGCACCGTGTAGGTCTGACGGTGGATGGAGCTCTGGCCGTCATCGACGATGGCAGAAGGGTGGTTTCCCATGATGGCGGTGGAGTAGGAGTGAGTGATGGGTAGTAGTATGTGTTGATGTTGATCGTTGTTGAGTTGTTGCGGAGGAGGGGCAGGGAGGAGGGGTAGCTTGGAGATGGTGGGGGGAAGAGGGGTCAAGCAGTCCCTTAAAAGCGCCGCGAGCCCGGCGGCAGTCGGCACGGCCTACGGCAGGCTGACTCAAGGAAAGCTGAACTGGCACACGGTTAGCGTGTCGGGCGGTCGCTGGCCAGCTCATCTGAAACGCCACCGTCCTCTAGAAGCTTCAATATGTGGCTGTGTGGTGAGCGCGAAGCTCCCCCATTCGACCGACTGCGCCCCGCGGCCTCCATGAATGACGCCACCCAAGACCGGCTGATCTCCGGGGCGGGTCTCTTACGATATAAATAACATCCTTCCGTATAACCTTGCTTTTTAGGGTTAGTTTCTAGCTTGTTCTAGCGAAAGCGATACGCCCTCTCCACACCTAGTCCGCAGCCATTGACGCAACCCTGCCCTTCTGTACACGTCTCCTCATTGGCTCGTATCATCTCATGTTTGCGTCGCGTCATCCATCTTCCCGTTTTCATGTGCTCCAAAACGTGGGTGAGTGGCATTTGTTGGCCGCGTTTGCTCATTTTCATCACAATCATGGTGGCGTTAGCTATTCGTTTGCCAGGGTGCTGATATGCAACTCCAGGCATCCGTCACACACGCACATCAGTCGATCTCTCACTTGATTTTACTCCTGTGGTCTTCACATGGGCTTTGAATCAACTCATCAATCGTTCAATGCATCGTCTTCGGCTGACTCCGGTCAGCTTTGCCATGTCCAATGGCATCGGAAAGCTATCGGGGAAGCCCCATTGCTCCTCTTCTTGTCTCTGGAACCGCCGGGTTTCTTCAGTTGTTTGTCGGCTGTGAGAGACATGTTCCAGATAGATCGACAGTGGATTTGGCTATATCATACGTTTTTAAAGCACAGAGTAGAGTTGCATTAGTATCGGCTGTCGTCCGTGTTGACTTTTGGAGCAGCCGAGCCGTCAACGCTGTTGAGAAACCCGGAGAAGAGATGCACTCAAGCCCCAATTGGAAACTGGACGCAAACGATCTAGGCTACCCAGCCTAAAATCCGCCTGTCTCGAATCTGGAGAGCACACATAATGTTTAGGGGGCAGTCTTTTTCTGGATTTAATGGATGAAAAAGTCTATTATTCCATTGCGGTTTTTGAATCGCGTACCTCCCTCCACTGCTAGCGTCGTCAGAGCCTATACTTGCTTGGGCAAAAATTTCACGTTGTATCCTCGCTTCCTTATACAACCCAGGAAAGCTTCTTGGCAGCTACACAACAGGGTGCCGGCAACACGCGAAGGGATCCAATTTTAAGCTGCCAGTTGATAGTTGTCCGGGATTTATTGGTAAATGCCTCTTGAAAATGGTTGACTGTGCTTTTCAAAGCCCATTACAAGCAAAAGTACTTATATTCATCTCATATAATCTAAATTATTTTTTCTATTATTATTATTATATTATATTATATTATATTATGTGAAGCTGGGCGCGAGGAATTGGACGCCGCTTGTCCTCCTAAATTACTACTAACTATGGAGGTATATATGCTGCTATCTAAAAGAACACGTTTTCTCTTTAAGATCATTGCTTCCTTGCAGTAGATAAATGAGTAGTGCAGGGGGTAAGGCTGTTGTGTAACAACTAAATAATGAGGCTGAGAAACATGTGTTATCGGAGTGATCCTGGCTGACATTTCTCGTCTCTGGTTAGTCACTCGTCTCTTATTTGGCATTTCAAGGAGTTGATGGATTTGTTCGGCTGGGAAATGTTCATTTTATAACAAGATTAGGTGCATCTTTTATATACACGGCCGGTTGGATTCTACAACCCTCTCAATCTGTGAAGTGAGCAGATAAATTATCGGTATTGGTGCATTACAAGACGACGGACCAATCTGACATGATCCAAGGAGGGTAATCCAAACTGAAAGTATGTTAATTGCTTTTGATAATTTCAAATTGGACAGCAGTTTTCAATGTATTAAACGATCGCTACAACGCTACCCGGAGGGGCAAACTAAAAGCAATTCCGCATATTTCACAATCTTGACCCCTTTAAACCATTATAAGTGGAATAATTTCATCTTTAGACATATTCGTCCTACATGCTGGAATGGCTTTCTATCGCGGTTTAGTGTTGTAATTAGGTAAGTCTACATCCAAACAATTACATCAAATACAAAGCCACGAGAAAAACATGACCAGGCTTCTCCGAAACAGTATATTCAGGCCTGAGTAATCGACTCACCAATGAGAATGGGGTCATTAGATTCCATCTGATTAATCTTTCTATGAGACGTTATACAACCCTCAGAATCCAAAGAAGTTTTGAAGGAAAACTAAAACAAAAATGGTAGCCAACAACGTAAATCGATGAAGAGAATCTGCAGCGACAAAAAACAACAATGATCAAAATCAACAACAGGCGTTAACGGTAACCCATAGCATTCAAAAGCGGCGTACTGAAGATAAAGTTTCCTGCTCGCTAAAAATTTTCGTGCTGTGTAGCCAGCACTTACAAACTTTTGATAGATCTCAGGGATATCGGTGTCCGCCGAGTAGGTGAAAAGAATTCCTAGGATTTGTCGTCCCTTGAGAGTTGAGGTTGCCGTGTGATGTGAGAATGTTATTCCAATACGATTTTTAAGCATGACGTTAACCGGTCGTCCGAAAACCTAGTCAGTGGTTAGGAAAAGCCTAATTCTGGACGTGTTTCAGTTCTTTATACCTCGAAATAGAGTACCGATAAGGAAGTGTGCACGAATGTGCCAGGATATGTTACCCAATTAACCGGCACCGCGCGTCAAAGACCGACTTTCTTCATCCGAGAAACAACAACAGCACGTAGCGAAGAAGTAATAGTGGTAGACAATGCAATAAAGCAAATAAATTCGTGGTATCTGAAGTCTAGCTAAAGTCCCATTCTAAGACTCGAAGAAGTAAAAAGCTCATTGACCAATCATCTGCACACCCTTTAGTTTCCCACTCAACACCCCCTCAGAACCACGTCTAAGCGTCCTTCTTGATGAGGTCCGATGCCCTCTCAGCAACCGCATACAGCGTGCTAACAAGGTGGCCACAGACCTGGAAGGGCAGGACACCAGCATCAACAACACGGACGTTCTTGGTGCCGTAGACACGGAGCTCGGCATCAACAACACCGCCCATATCCTTGGGCATCATAGCAGTGGAGCCAACGGGGTGGAAGTTAGAGCGGTAGTTCTCCTTGACCCAGCCGAACCAGTCCTCGTCGCTCGCACCAGCAGGCACAGCCTTGACGCCGGGCGTCGTCTCCTCAGCGACGTACTGGTTGAACGGCGCCGTGTTCAGGATAGTGCGGATGTACTTGGCGACGCCGACGTGCTGCGTGCGGTCCCAGTCGAACATGTAGTACTTGGGGTCGGCAGTGAAGCCCTGCTCGGCGTCGGCGTTGACGTGGATGCTGCCGCGCGCGAACGGCAGCAGGCCCCAGAACTCGGCGTCGACGGCCTCGCCCGTCGGGCTGACCAGCACCTCCGCGATCGGGATCTTCTGCGTGAAGATCAGGTCGTACTGCAGCTGGAAGAACTTCTCGACGCTGGCGACGGGGATGACGCCCTTGCTGACGGCCGCGGCTTGGCGCGCCCAGTCCTTCAGCGACGACTTGACGTGCGCCTGAATCGTCGCCGTCTGGTTGCCGAAGATGTCCTGCGCGTTGGGGTACGCGACGTAGCCGTACTGGCCCGCCCAGGAGGATGTCGACGACGCCATCATGCCAGCGTTCGTCTGGTCCTGCAGGTTCTCACCCACAGCCGGAAGGTTGACCTTCACGTCGATGCCGGCCTTCTTGAGGATCTTCGGGTTGCCGACACCGGACTTCTCAAGGAGAACGGGCGAGGTGAGCGCACCAGCCGAGAGAATGACCTCCTTGTTCGCGTAGATGGTCTGCTTCTTGCCGTCGGCGCCGATGACCTCGACACCGTTGGCCACAGCGTCACCCTTGCCCTCCGTCCACACCAGCTTCTGCGCCTCAGTGTTCGAGTACAGGGCGAGGTTGGTGCGGTTCTGGTAGGGGAAGTAGAAGGCGCGGGCAGCATCCTCACGAATGCCGAGCTCGGGGTCGACCGTCTTGGGGAACAGCGTGAAGCCGCGCATCTGGCCGCCGTTGATCTCGGACGAGTACGGGACGCCCAGGTTATGGAAGGTCTCGTTGAGGATGGCCGGGGCGGTGATGTTGCTCATCTCGTGGGTCCAGCCGATCTTGAGCGGGCCGTCGAAGCCGTGGTCGGCCTTGTCGTAGGTCGCGCCGCTGGCGAACTGCGCCTCCGTAGGCACCTGCAGCGCCTCGTGCTTCTTGTAGTACGGGAACAGCGACTCCCAGTTCCAGCCCTTGTTGCCCAGCTTCTCCCACACGTCGATCTGCGCATCCTCAGCACGCGTGTACGCCATGCCTGCCCGTGCGTCAGTGTTTGTTTGTTTGGCAGGGCCGAGTGTACGGGTATTCACTTACCATTGATGGCGCTGGTACCACCAAGCGCCTTACCGGCGCGGAGAGTCTGCGGCTTGTTGCCGGCATACTCCTGGGGCTCACTCTGGAAAGCCCAGTCAATGTCGGTGCCAAAGGCCAGTCCGTAACCAGACGTGCTGGTAACGTTCGTGTTGTCGAAGACGGAGCCACCGGCCTCGATGATGGCCACAGAGGCGTTCTTCAGCTCCGAAAGACGGTTGGCGACGACCAGACCGCTGGTGCCACCACCAACGATGACATAGTCGAAGCGGTTTGCCTGGTGAGTGTGAGGTGCCGCCAAAGCGGACGCTGCCAGCAGCGGGATAGTGGACAAGAAACGAGTGTACATGTTGGCGATGGAGAGAGTGGTGGACTGTAGCTTGGAGAGGCGCCCTCCATCATGTTTTAAGGACCCCTTTTATCTTCACGACTCTTACACCATGCCCATGAGTGTTTCCGCACCGGCCATCGGAGCTATCCCCAGTCCTCCGATACTGTGATACCTAGTTCCGATCCGCATCTTTGTCATTGCTTAGGAATGATTGTAGAGTTTGAAGGCCTTAAGCTTCAGCAAGCGAACGCCTGCTTCATGTTGGCAGGGATGTCTTCGGCCGAAAAACGCCATCGGTCCGTGCCGGCGGAGCATGTTCCTTCAGCCCTCTGCGCCAATCCCAAGCCACGATTCAACGGGAAATTGACGGACCATGCCGACAGACGGACCTCCAGTCCGACAACGCTTCCCTAACCCGAAAGCGGTCGCCCTCTCCTGCGCGGGCAGAGCACGCTCAGATTGTGAAAATCGCGCAAAGCTTTCGGCCCGATGAAAAAAAGGGCAACTCCCTAGGTGTTCCCTGCCGCTGTACAATTAGGGATCAATATAGTAGAGATAACGGGACATGGAATCAAAGAAACCATGCGTCAAACATGGCGACATCATTTGAAACTGGTTCTAGACGCACGTCGTCGCAAGTCTCTGACCTCATCGGGACGGCCCGCCTGTCTGAGGTCGAATCGACCTGCCTGTTACAGTGACTGTTTGCACTCTGAAGTTCTGGGGGGCGCAGATAACAAATGGACGTAGGTAGAAGGTGCACCAGGCCCAGACCGAGTCCGGCGCCCGATAGCGGCACCAACGCGAGCCCTATACGAATTTATCAGATACAAGGAGCGTTGCGCAATACACGCATCGGAGCGGATTTGGATGTCGCTGAGTCGCAGCTATAGAAACTAAGAGAAAAATTAGCGTTGCATTCACATACTACTAATCATAGCCTGTGCCATTCCGCACTCAGCGGAAGATCTCCTTTTTCTGGCTTTGTCACTTCTTACCAACCATCTGAATCTCCCACTAGCCCACTAGCCTCCTTCACTAATTCCGTGCTTACAACTTTCTTAGTCAACACAGGTAGACGTTGTAGAAATTTCCGGGTCCAGCATCGCAGACGCAAACTTTCCACAAGCTCTTCTCTTCCACCTTCCGCGCTCCTCATCACTCCCTTGCTTTCAGCGAGAAGGAAGCCACAACAGGACGTACCTGAGTTTGCAGGAGGCATGAGTACCCACCGTGCACGCAACGCCACAACGGCGCGGCAGCGCTCAGGCCCACCAGTTCGCCGGCAACGGCGACGCAACGACCACCACGATCGGAAGGCTAGCTCACCGCCTTGCACGACTGAGTCGCTAAAATATAACCCGGAGGTCGATCTCGCATCGCCGGTGCGCTTGATTGGGGTGTGAAAGGTAAAGGAGACAGCAGACGAAGTCTGTATGGAAGCAAGCAGACAAACACGCCCTTGAACCCACTGTTTTCTACGCCCTTCGCGAACCACAACGAAGCTTACAATAAGATTATTGGGTTCGTCTCGCACATTTGCTGGACGTCTTTCTTTCTTTGTAAAGGTATTGACAAAGCGACAGGGGTAGAAAAGAAAGCAATCGGCGTACCTAGTACGTCTTCGTCATCTGTTCTCTCATGTAATCGTGGAGGCCGCTCAACAACCAGGACTAACACTATGGGTCGTTGTTTCGCTCGCACAGCGGGAAAGGCGACGTGAGACCAGGGGGTGCTGATAAGGAGACATAGTGAAGTGAAATATCCCTTCGTCGCCGTGCTTGCTTGCTCCTCAGTTGCGTCAAAACCTTATGTGTGCAAGTCAACCAGCTTAAATCCGCAAAGGGGTGGCTCTTTCGCGAGGATAATTTTGGCAGGTCGCCCAAAACTTGTCAGGCGTCTCCTAAGCACACACGGCTTGAGACTGAGCTCCTCAAGCGCGATGTTTCAGCACCTTCTAGTACTTCCATGGCAGCAACTCCTCAGCATACCACGACGGCGTCTCGTCCTCAGGTTGCTCCTCGTCTCTCCTCCATTGTATCTTATCCGCCGGCTTTTTGATTCCCCACGCCTCAGTCACCTTGTCATCCAGATCGCGGAATGGCGCACGGCTGACCCCCCATTCTACTTTCCACTTGTTCGTCTTCTCGTCGCGTTTGACATTCAAGTCCGGCGCGTTTCCTTCTTTGAGTATGCAGGAAGAGCAAAGCATTAATTCAAGCAACGCCGGCATACTGCGGACTACACTCGCTGTAGCCACATACAGGGCGTTTACGAATGCAGCGTCGGCTCTCCCGGTAACCTTGCGCACCGCGTCAAAATCGAATTTCACTTCCTGCAGGTGTGGCCAGGGCATGGAAGCTACAGCGTCCAAAACTGCAGGCGTGACGGCCGAACCGGTAAGGTAGAGTTTGCGTAGCTGCGGTGAGAGCGCAGTTAATCCGGCGCAGAGAAAGGCGTCGGAAACTCCAGGCCGGCCATGAGGCGAGTGCCCGAGGTTGAGTTGAACGTTAGTGCACCCGGGAGGAATTTGTCGGATGCTGGTCGCGAGGACCTCATCGATTTCCGTGACATTGGACTCTCGGGCCCAACGCGAAGCGCACACGTCGCCAATCTCGATATCAGCTGTTTTTACGGCGGGTAGTGAATTAAGGAATTGTACGACAGACGGCGGCCAGATGCGGACATGTAGTCCGGTCTCGAAACTGTGGACATTGGACAGCAGGGGAAGCGAGTCGCCGATGTAGTTAAGGAAACCGTTGCTGTCTGGCCAATTGGCACGTCCGCGGCCATGCAAGGAGATGCTCAGCTTAAATTTTGACTCAGGCGACCAATCTGCCAAGATACCCCAGAGCTCTGCTATATCCCGCGAAAAGACAACGTCGTCGGCGGTTCGTTCATTTGCGGAACGCGTCTTCGCGCTCATTAGGCGGTTCACGCTCTCAGGCGTGAAGATGATATGTCGCACATACTTGCGACGGCGTCCGCCATCGCGCTGGAGCACTCTCCCAAGACGCGCAATAGTAATGCTGTTGATAGCCGACGAGCGAACAAGGATTTCCTTGAAGGTCCACTCGCGCTCGATGGCTTCATTCCAGAGATGGTTGATGGTAGAGTAGCGCGCGACCGGATACCGTATGAGCCATTTCCCGACCGCGAGGAACCGCACGATGAGGACGATGATGTCGTAGGGAAGATCGGGCATGACGGCGGGGAGAGGCGAGGGAGGATGTAGGGGTGTGGGGGATGTGCGTGAGACTAGGCTGAAAGCATGGACGCTATCCCGACTAGGAAAGACGATCTAATCTGGCACGTGGTGTCGACATCAGGAAAGACTGGGAGTGCGCTGTCAGTCATTCCCGTCTTTATAGGATTAATAAAGGGATCTAGTATGGTATGCGCACAGTGGAGGCCTCCAGGCCTATAGGAACTGATAAAACTCGGTTATGCTGCCCCCCATTCACGACATCCGAGATCGGGAGCCCTATCCGTATAATTCGACTTTAGGTGGTAGAAAAAAACTACGAACAGGGTCTTATAGGTTGCTTCATCTGCCTGTGATGCCTAATCTGAGATTGGTAATTAGATCGGGTCAGTACTAACATGTAACTGACGCCCGATACTGTATACAGCGGTGTCGTTAATGGGGAACAGCAGCTTTATCTTTTCAACAGCACAAATAGCAAACATTTTGGTTGAAGCAAGTAGTCATCTTGTTTTTACCCGCTGCTACCTATTGTTTAAGTTTCTTTGGTAAGTGAAAGGAAATCGCTGTGTCCAATTTTTTGTAACCCATGCAAGTTTCCCATTGGTGGTTGATGTAAGCTCGCATGATCTCATCGACCTGGCGTGTCATGAAGATAGCCAGCGTCAGAAACCCATGATTATTAGCGTAGCTGCTTGCTCGGAACTTTCCAGTCCACCACCTCTTGAGCAGTCCATCGACCATACGATCCGTACCATTCTATGTCCTCTGGATGCTTGTCGACCCCCCATGCCTTAAGCACGGCGTACTCCAGAAGAGGATACTTGCCACCAAGTTCGCCACAGTCCCACTCCACTAGCCTCTCATCCTTCTTGCAACTAAACCTGATATCCAGTCCGACATCGATCCAATCGGCCGACTTAAATAAAGGGTCGCCAAACTCGGTGTAGCTTATATTCATAGCAACTAAAGAGGGCGTAGCGCGGGCCGCACGGCCTGCAGCCACTTGTAGATCATTTACAAATCTAAAATTAGGCTCGCAGTCGTCCCCGGTTACCGTGTAGTTGGCATCCAAGTATTTAAGGCGCGGCCACGGCAATGCAGCCATAATATCCAGCAAGGTGACGGAAGCAGCTGAGCCAGTAAGATTGAGTCGTATAAGACGAAGGGAGAGCGGCGCCATCCCAGCGCAGAGGAAGGCATCATTTGGGCCTAGTTGGTTATACGGCGCGTACCCGACGTAAAGATCGACAGATTCGCAGCTGTACGGGATCTGTGCGATGCAGCCCAGAAGGGCTGTATCAGTATCGATTGAAATAACCGAATATTCCTCAGTGTACCAGTACGAATTGCATAACTCGTCGAAGTCGAGGAAAACTTCTTCCAGGGCCGGCAGTGATGTAAGGAGTTGCGTAACAGATTGCGGCTGGATGCATGCGTTCGTGCCAAGCATAAGGGATTTAACGTTCGACAACAACGGCAGCGGGCCGCCAACGTAGTTGAGGAAGTCAGTGGTTTTTATCATTCCGTGGTTGTAGGATTTAGGACCATCCAGGCTCAGTTCTAGCCGAAGCTTCGAGGGGCGCGGCCAATGTGCCAAAATAGCCCATAGATCAGCGATGTCGCGTGAGAATACTGCGTCAGTAGTGGCACGGCTCTGCGCTGGACTCGAATCATGAACCAAGTGGTTTATCGGGTGGTTTTCGTAATCAAGCTTGAATGCAAGAAACTTCATGTAGTAACGGCGGTAGCCACCCTCCCGCTGGAGCGCCTGGGCAAGGCGTGCGACCGTCATACCGCTGTCAGCAGGTTTCACCTGAATGGGTCCAAGAAACGGGTTGGGCTCGACCTTCTTTATGTTGCAATCGGAAGGTTGCAGATGAATGGATCTAAACGTGTAGCGCTCGACAGCCACGGCCCATGCGCGATTGATGGTGGCATATTGCGCGATTGGGTTTTTGTAGGGCCTTATGTCAAGTTCAATTGGCTCAGCAAGTAAGACCACGATCATGTCAACGAGCTCTTGAGGAAGGTGCGGCATGGTGGCGAAAGAGAAGAGAAGTGAGGTGAAGTCCGAAGTTGGCAGGTCTGGTGTTGGAACGTCAAGTCGAAGTGGTAATAGGTGGTAGCACACCACGAACCCAACCGGGAAGGGCGTGACCACCTCAAAGGCGGCCTCTGATGCTGAGAATCTTGTTGAGTGACGAAACAGAAAGAAGAGAGTTGGTGTTGAACAAACAACGAGCGCTGCTGCGAAAGAAGAGGCAGCACCGGCGACTAAGCGAGACTAGCCACATGGGGTAAGCGCTAAACTGTATCAGGCACATGAGCTCTGCCCATACAACATTCGGAAGCTGAAGTACGAAAAGCCAGGGAGGACGTACCTGAGAGCGGCCGTGGAGACCATCGCGTCTTTCACTCTCGAACCCCCTGGCCATTTCCACAACGTGCCACGTACCTCGAGGCTCATCTCAAAAACCAGCGTATAACCCCGCGCTCTTCCCGACCTCCTCAGCGTCTTGTAATTCAGTTCCAACTTCAACCTCTTAGGGTCATACGACTCCACAGCCCAGCTATCGCTCACCGTGAGCCCAAGCATTTCGAGACCAAGCTCTTCCTTCTACTTCCGATCCACAGTCAGCATTTTCCCATCCAAGCCACAATGACTGCTTTCTTGAGGGTGGTTCTGACAGTCGAATCTGGGACATCGAGCCGGTGTCGCGAATCAATGTGGCCTAGTACTGTAATTCTTACACTCAGGCCTGAACTCAATCTCGCGTATGTAGCTGCGACGTCGCCCACCGTCATGTTTGAGAGCTTGCGCGAGCCGCGGAATAGTGAAGCCTTCAGGGTCAGTACTGGTGCGTATTTTCTCCAAGGTTCTCTTAAAGATCATGACATCAACAGGCGTTTCGAAGAGCTTCCAGATGGGGTTGAGGCCGCTACTGATGCGGATTTTCTCGAAGGTCTTGAGCTCAACGGCCTCGTTCCAGACGCGGTTGATGGCAGCGTAACATGCCAGTGACTCGTTGCCTTGAGCGAGGAACTGCAGGATAATGGCGATGACGTCAAAAGGGAGGTCGGGCATGATGTTGAGCAAGAAAATTGTGAGATGGAGGAAATGGTTGAAGGTGAGAAGATGGCCGTATGATGTGGGGTCGCGACGATCAATCTGATAAATGATAACGCAGACAGAAACGCAGCGCAGGCAGAAGGCGCGGCTGCCTACAACAAAGACGCATGAAATCTTCTTGAGCCTGCACCGCCCCTTCATGCCGCCCGACTCAAACTCAGACTTGTCTTGCCCTGCTCCGTCACGGCAGCCTCATCCTTCACCTGCGCGCTCTCTTCCAGCGCAAGCTTATCCTCCTCGACAGGCTTGAAGTCCTTCACAACGAGCCAAGTCGGAAAGACCGCGAGACCTGCAAACAAACGACGCATCAGCAACAAGCTCACACTAGGCACCGCGCCCTTCACTTACCCAGCAAAATCGTGTTTACCGCCAATGGGACTCTCCCGCCGTACCACTCGCGCGTATTAATCCCGTACGAGATAGCCTGGGCAAAGCTCTCCTGTCCCCTCAGCACGCCCGACAGCCTGCTCAGCTCCGAGATATTATCCGTCGCGCAGGCCAGCAGGTAGTAAAGCCAATTCTGGAGGGCCTGACGAGAAAACTCCCAGAGAATGATGACAAAGAACCCTTCCACGAAGCCCTTGTCCGTCCAGTCCAGCGCTGGCGGGTCGCGCGTGTACTTTTCCTGCACGACCCAGCCGTACACCCACGCGACGATGTGTACCGCGATAACATACACGAAACCCCAGTGGATGCGCGCGCGGACACTGACGCGTTTGTAGTCCAGCCATGAACTCATGAGCTGCGATGACAGCAGCGTGCCGAAGTTTCCGACGAAACCGATCAGCGCCCGCGCCCGCACGCCAAAGTAGTACGTCTGGAAGTTGCCGGTGTACTGGTTGAAGTACGCAGCCCAGAAGACAGGCAGCAGGAGGAGGATGTCCTTTCGCTTGCTCAGGCGGGCCAGCGCGCGCAGCTCCGCCGCAAACGACGACTCCGCCCGGACCACGACGTTGCTGCCGTCGGCGCGTTGGACCTTCTCGGGAGGGGAGAGGGCCAGCGCCAGCGGCACGGCAAGGCATTGCAGCGCAACGAAAATGAGATACGTCTTTGGGTCGACCTTGCCCTTGTGCGCCGAGCTCGCGCTGTGATTCAAGCCCAGCACGATCGCGCCGCCGAGCAACGGTCCTCCCGTCCGGAACCACAACCAGATATTCAGGTAACGCCCGCGCTTCCCCTGCTCTGGGTAGCCGAGCGCGACAGCTCCCTCAGCCGCCCAGAACAGTCCCGCGCTGAAGCCGCACGCCACCGCGCCGACGAGCACGAACCATTCGTTCCCAAAGCGGCTGTTCGTGTACAACCCAGCCGAGTAGACGGGGTAGCCCACCGCGCCCAGCATCAGCGTCCAAGACAGTCCAATGCGGTTCGCTAGCGGCCCGCCGATCAAGCACAGGATCCCCATGAGCCCGAACACGAGCGCGTTTGCTGCGTTGACGAGATACGGCTTTTGCGCACCGCCCGCCCCGAGCGCGTTCATGGCGTTCCAGAGTCCCGGCGCCATGAATCCGACACCGCCGATCACAAAGGCGTTGAACAGCGTCGTGCGGTACCAGGTGCGGCGCGCGGGCGTGGCGGCGGGGGAGTCCTCGGAGGCGGGGCGGACCGCAGCCTCCGCGGCGGATTTCGTGGCGGGGTCGGCAGCCATTGCGCGCTTGTCCGTTCGTTCGTGTGTTCGTCGTCCACAGGCAGGTTTGCAAAAAGAGAGAGACGAGAAATGGGACAGCGCGCGACAAAGATTATTTTTTCGATTGTCTGTCCGACCTACCCAGAAACCCACCTGCCTGGTCGACTAAATGTAGTATAAACAGCCCACGCTCGCCGCATTGCGTGACGGCAGATTCTGCGCCCACCTCATCGCCGCACGCGATGACGAGCTCGTGTAGCGTCGGAGCTGGTACGCTGTTTCGGGCAGCTGCGGCGATGCCGAGCCGCATCTTATCTCTTGTCGGTGCAGTGGCGCTGGCTGCGCTGCTGCTGTTGGTTGCGCTTCTGCATGGGAAGCGTCTGGACTCTGGACGGTTGTGGTGGTGTTGATGGGGTTGGTGAGGGGCAGCCTCCACTGGCAGCAGGGCAGCTCCTCCGGCAAAACCTCGCTGGCTAGCTCAAACACCGCTCGCTATAAATCTTAGCCTTCTATCTTCATAGGAGGTAACGCCGCAGCCGCGCAACTCAAGAGGTGCTTGAGTTCGCACAACAAAAAAGGTTCCAAAACAGACGATTCTAATAATTAGAACCTTATCTCCCTCCTTTGATCTATTGTTTATCCTATCTCCCTTATACTGCCGCAGATTGAAACACCAGTGTATACTACTAGGGTATTTTCTTTAAATGGTTTGTAGTCTGCATATCGCTTAAGGCGATGGGACAGGGTAAATGAATACAACAAAAAACTGTACGACGGTGGCGCTTTTTAATTTTTCGCGTCTATTAGCACGAATAAAAAAGCTAGTATGGCCGCGTATTGCCCCACCCTCGCTTGTCTGCGCTTCAATCTCCAATAGTCAACTGCAGTCTTCATGTACGCTGCGCTATGACATGTCGCTCGTGTTTATTTTTGGTGCGTGCAGTAAGGGATGTAGCATAGCCTGCATGCACACCATCGTGGCTCCACAATTAGACAGGATGAAAGCAAGGCGCATCTTATGTACGGCACAGCAAGACGGCATGTCGCTAGCATAGATGCCGGTCAAGCTGTTTGCCAGGCTATTTGTAGCGTGTGAAACGACTGCAAGGATTCGACCAGAGATGCCCCCAATCAAGGACTTTGTAACTGTTAAGCGACTGCAGTCACAACTAGTATGCGTGTATCTCGCCGAGTTTGCATATCCTTACTTTCGTATAATGTTACAACCTTAAGCGAGTAACATGTGATATATACTGTGCCACACGAAGTACCAGGGAACAGGGACAAGGATTACTAGTTATTAACATTGAGTTTTTATTGAGCAGGCAATTCAGTTAACACAACAGGAGTGAAACACGTTGGTAACGTCGATATGTAAGTGCATGCGCGGTACCAGCGCTTGCAAGTGCCGGGTATATATACCTTTTCGACCAATTTTCCATTCAGTAGGAGATACAAGCTTCCGCGTCTTCAAACATGCCTGATCAGGCGAGCATCAGAGCCTTGAATCTCTGTCCTTGTGCAAATACAGGTACTGGAGGGGCGCATGCATGTATCAAGCCAGGCGCAAATGCATGCTCACGTTGCTATCTGGTTCGAGTAAGTCCAACTTCTACGTACAACGAGAGATCTACGGCAGTTAACTCGTTATCAGTACTGCAGCAGTCAGTGCCAGAAAGCACACTGGAAACAACACAAAACCGACTGCAATTCCAAGCTGGGAAAACAAACATGGCGACCGTCCTGGGACTTAGAGGGTAGACGTCCTGCATTCGTTACGCCTGAAAATGACGATGGGCTCAAATTCGACCTGTCCGCCCCCGCAATTTCTATGGTTACCCACGGCACAAAGAAGTTCTTGTGGGGGAATGTACCGGCTTTCGACTTGCTAAACCTTAAGCATAACGAAGGGACAGAATACAATCAACATATCCGCATTCTGTTCGCAGGTACGCTTATTCATTCTTTCCATCTCAATGGACCTAATATAACCCTATCTAGCTTCTGGAGATTTGAGGAACGTAGTCAGAACGATCGCAGGGATACCCAAAGGCTCAACACAAAGCATCGACGTAGTAATCAATGATTACGACTTCGACATCGTGGCGCGAAACGCCATTCTCATCCTAATTGCGATGCACCTGGAGCCAGAGCCCGCAGCAGATGCCATGATACACACATGGTATTCCGCCTTTCTGTCAGCGGAGATTGCCAGTTGCCTGAATGATACCGTTCTTCCAAGTATCCGTACTGTTTGCGAAAAAATTCAGGCCAAGCCCGACGATCAGTTGCTTTCGAAAAAATGGACTACCGAATCTTGTACTTTTCGCCTTGTCCTTACAAAGGCATGCTGGGACCATTGCCTGAGAATTTTCGAAACTCCTGCGACTCTTACTACCGCAGCCGCACATGAGATGCGCCTTTCGACAGTCTTGGCAGAATCGAGAAAAGATTACGTTGAGAGAGCCCTATATTTTCAGCCACGGGGCTGGCGTATGGCTACCATAGGATTTCGAAAGGATGGCATCCTTCTGCCATTTGGCGCATCAAGACACGGGTTTGATACCCCCAATCCGTAAGAGCTCCCGACTGTTGTGACGTCAACTTGAATTTTGCTAAAATTTGTAAGTACATTCTATTACAACGATCAGTGGCCAATGATGGATTCTGCGGACCCGCTTGCGGGCTGGCCCATGGAAGAAATACTTCAAGCAGCTTCACCGGCAAAGAATGATCTCTACGGTGGCTTGTTTCTTTACCTGCGGCCATTGCTCGTAAAATTCTGCAAGAAAATTCGGAAACACGCTATAAATTTCGAATTGCTTCACACTAACGCTACAGAACTTCCTGGTTATTGGGGCGAGAACCAGGACGAAGGCCAGCGGTTTGACAGGATCGAAGTAAGTATACATTGAGAATGAACATACATCCAAATTGAATCATGGTTAAGGTAACTAACATCTCCAGGTTTCAAACATTGCCGATGGAGGCTATTTGGGAATACGGAAGTGTTTGAAAACATTCGCTCCTTTGCTCAAGCCAGTCACAGAGAATCCGCATGCAACGCTGGTAACGCTTTTCCTCAATGCCATTAACGAGGTTGAATCGTCAGAAGACCGGATCCAGACACTCATGCTGGAGAGAGCCCGACTGATGGCATACGTCCCAGTCAATCTCTCCAACAAAAACAAGCTCGGTGCGGACAAAGTGAAGATCACTACGGCACCGGATCTGTTGCGAGATTTCGACGGTCTCTTTGCACGGTATGCCTACTGGTGTGACCTCAATTCTGCGAGTGAGGATGCCGGGATGCGTATCAAGACCATGCATACGCTTATTGAGCCGTGGCCGATGCGCCTCAAGGATGGTGCGACGAAAGAGGAGTTTGAGAGGCTTTTTGGTTCTCATCATTGCGGGAGCGAGCGATACGTTGAGTGGCAGAGAGTGAGAGGATAGGAACTTTACTCAAAGAAAATTCGGCAAGAGAGAAGATGAGTGGATAGCAGCAGCTTAAGCGACCACAAGTAGTGCTTTTTCAACAAGGCTTTGTTCAAGCTGTGCAAGTCCTTCCATTAGCATGTGCAAAACTCGTGCTATAGTTGTAATCTTTCGAATTTTACACAGGCCTCAAACCAATAAGAACCCCATAAGGTATCAGCAAAACCCAGTGGAAACTTGCATCCGAGGGCTTTTATCATCAAGACCAAGAAGGTATGTGGTAAGAAATTGCTGTCCTCTGCAGCAAACTTGGATATTATCACGTTACCCCGCTTAACCCGCTCATTTTCGTTTTCAGACCTTAAACAACTTCCTTTATCTTTCTGATCAGCTCCAATATTAAACACCACAGCAGTGTTCTCCAGTCCTATTCAGAAACAATCAATGCAAGCTGGTCAACATCTTCGCATACGAGATATTCCCATCGAAGAACTGACGCCGCGCTTCAAAAACGTTATATAATTACGCGAAACGGATACTCCAATCTATCCTCCGCCCTATAAGTGCCCCGACTGCCAAAACGGCTTTTACACCGTACAAGAACAACAAATGGATCGGTACTCCTATACAAATCAGATCTCTGAGGCGGAAGCAGCGTCTATTCTTTAGAAATACATGACACAGACGCAGGAAGACCGTTAGTATTTGCGGGACCGGTGTAGAATGTACGGTGACAGGATAGCAAACCGTTAAAAACAAAACGAAGTAGGGACAAGCGCGAGAGTTGGCTCCGTCAGGTTGACCTGGGGCTCTATAAACATCGATGGTTTATTCCGCGATACACAAACACGAGCCCCGAATGGAAGGAGGCACGAAAATACCGGAAGAATTTCTTAATAACATACTTAAGCGTAGTACTACTAAGAACCGACTCTTCGAAATTTTTCGGTCTAATATATAACCGTACTCTCCATTAGCCGGAGTATCAGGCATCCTTAAACAGCAAACAGCTCACCATTAGCTAGGCTATGGGCTTCTTCGATTTAGAGTTTTATGAATACTACGCCGTTATGTACGGTCCAAAACATAGACAGCTAGTTCCTTAAAAGCCCGGACCTGCCCATAGGTTAGATATTATTAGGTATCCACGGGCCCGGCTTGTACTCGAAGCGTAAGCCTATATACTTAGATTCTTTCGCAACTTAGTAGATCAAATTCTAAAAGAAGCCGATCTAGGACCCCTTTAGGCTTGACGAAATAGACGGAGATAACTCAAACAGGCTTTAGGAAAAACGGTAATGTTGCGTACTAGTTATAATATATATCCTAGCCTTTTCCCCTCCTCCGCGGTTCAATATTAACGCCACAATACCTCTCGCGAAAGCTATAATAAACGAAACGGCCGACTATATATAGATTCTGTTAACATCTTGGTTGAAACCGTGCGAGTAAAGAGAGAACGCGGCTTGATTTGAATGAGTGACTAACGGCGAGCCTTTTATGTACAAATACTGTGGAGCAGTCATGTGCTCGTATAGAAAAGGTGGCAGGGGGTGCCATGGTTTTGAAGCAACGAAAAAGCAAGTGAATATTGGAAGTAATGCGCGAAGAAAGATGGCTTGATAATTCAACGTAAGGTGAGGGAACCTTTAAAAA